TTTTGCATTTATTAGATACAAATGGCTTTTTGATATCCCTTCTTACCCATACTGTGCAAATATTCTGCAAGTAATAACACTCCAAATCTGCGGCAGGAAGTCCACAATCATGCGTGGCAAGCTGGACATTATGAAGGTGTGTATATTTGGCTGCATTTACCGGATGATGAGTGTGAATTTTCCCCTCTCTCATATAGTTGTCTTTTGGCAGAATGCGCCGCTGATGCTGTCAGCTTTTGCGGTGGCCAATGAACGTCCAGCTAATCATTTAGTTATACGGACAGAAACAGCATACACGTAATAGCTCTGTAATTTCATATCACGCGGGGAAGAAAACAAGTTTGCTTAAGTAGAAAACAAAGGAAACAAAACTAATCGAAGAGCGACCATAATGACGCGCACAACAATTAATCTCCGACACCATTTGTGTGAAACTAACTATTGATGTAAGGCTTTGATTGCTTGTTAAACATAACATGTGAACAAAGGCACGTCCTTTCAACCGGACCAGCAGCCTTACAGATCTTTTGTGTGTTGTGGCATATTTTTATTACCTTACTTTGGCTATTTACGACTGGGGAAGACCTGGGATGATATATTACTAGGATGTCAGCCCTAATTATAGTTCGTAGAACTTCAGCGCGTTTCGAAAATCTGATTCAGATTACCCCATCATAAAAGGCGTAGGATTCGTAAAGATACCAAGTAAGGCAGCTCAAATACCATCAAATTTGAGTAAAAGATGCAGCTGCAGAAGGTGTAAGCGTGTAATTTCACGTCCTTCCTAAAGACATCGTCCTAACTAAATGCCCCCATAAGTTGCAATAGGTTAAGCATGAAAAGCGTTTATTAATTTACTACAATGAAGGAACTCTGTATTAGTTACTTGCAAAATAGACTTGAATCTTTGTAAAAAAATAGTTTAATCATTTTTATAGTCAATTAAACTACTACACTTGCATTTAAATTGTTTTTAGATTGATTGGGCATATCGTTCATAAAGTTTTGCATTTAAAAATTATACGTGCACAGATTGTTGAAAAAACACTTACAAGTTTGTGCTTGCCTAAAAATGGCAAAATTTTTAGTCATAAATGATAAGTAAATGGGTCACGAACAATAATCGGTTCTTTCGAATCGGCCAATAAATTTGAGGGGCACAGGTGGTAATTTCAAAGTCGTTTTGGTGTGGTGTTTTTCCTGCTCCTTGCCCCACTGGATTCAGGTCGTAAATATCAAGCCAGATGTGCGAAAATCAGTCAACCGAAGTCATCCATTCTGTAAAGGCACCATTACAATGGGCTCGTTAAGGGTAGAGGCTCTTGTTCAGCCCCATGTGTGCACTGCATAAATGAACATATGATATGATTGCAGGTGCTTTTCAGATGAATTTAAAGTCTTTCAAGCAAATGGTGTAAATTTTTTCTAGTTGAAACTTGAAGAGCAGAGAAGGATTTAGGAGGCAAAGGTGGGTGATTTCAGTTTTTTACTTTCCGTATTAAAACCGAAATACATAATCCTGACACATGTTTGGTTTGTCAGAGGGCTGAAGGTATTGCGAAATGCTAAATGCAGTTAACTTCCAGAATGCATTCTCCGTTGTTGAAAGGTTGAGAGGACGAAAGTATCCTGGAAGAGACATTTTGAAGTATTTTTGGGAGTACTTTCCCCTGTGGAACATGTGACTTCAGCAATTGGCGTTAAGTCGTGAGTTTGTCTCATGTTTTAATGTAGTACCTTTTATATAACTAAACCTTGTTTCTATGTAAATCAATTCGTTCTAGAGGTACAGTGGTTGTTAAAACGTTGTTTTGTTTCCCTGGAACTTAATTGATTCCTCTTTCATTCTCAATAGTGCACTTTTCTCGCCTTTACTTGCATATTAGACCTTCAAATGATCAAATAATCTTGAAATAGAGCTCTGTTTGAGAAATATAAATCACCAGCAGACGCGAGAGAGCCATTTGAAGATGCTTTGAGGGTAGGCTTTTTGTATTATCCCATGCTACTGGTATGGGCGCCGTCTGTTGGCTCCCTGAAGTAGGCAAGAATGCGCATGAGATGCTGTTAATGGGGTGGTGCTCGTGTTGGGTCCGTCTAGAATCAGAGCAACGAATAGCGACGCCTTGGAGAGCAGTTGGGCGTGGAAGTGTGGATAGGCGCGTTAGCCGGCCTGTTTAAGTTCAACCCTCAGCTGGTGCCCTCGGGACGCGTGGTCCCCCTCGATGCCGTTGCAGACGCTGCTCCCGTCTCATTGACCACTGGGCGCCCTGCCTCTTCTCCGCTACTGCAGCATATGCCATCTCTGTTGCTCACAGCTCCTTTCGTGCCCCGAAAGAGTACCATGACGTCCTGTCTTCTTTTAATCGTTTAGCACTTCTGAGTTTATGCCCTATGTCTGGTGAGCATTCAACATCGGCTTTTTTC